GGACTTGACTCGAGACTTGGAACGCAAAGACTCAAGACTTATTTAGACTTGCAAAGCAATGACTTGGTCCCACCTCGGTGAAATAGCGAAGAATAACTGAATGAATAACAGAATAATCACAAAATCATTTATCACCACCATCAAAAGCTCAAGTTAATGACATGAAATGTTTAAATGCAGGTGATTCACAGGATCTGAGGATTGTTTTATTTGGAGTCTCTGGAGCTGGAAAGAGTCCAACAGCAAATGCAATACTGGGGCGAGATGCATTTAAAGAGAGCAGAACCAGAGAGAGTGAGATACAGAGAGGAAGAGTAAGGAGCAGAAACATCTCCATCATCGACACTCCAGGATTCTTCAACACTCAGCTGACTGATGAAGAGCTGCAGAAACAGATGATGAAAAGTCTTTCTCTCGCTGATCCTGGTCCTCACGTGTTCCTGCTTGTCATCAACCTGGAGACCTTCAGAGAGGACGAGAGAAACATTGTAGAAAAGATTCAGGAGATCTTTGGAGCTCAAGCCTTGAATTTGACCATGGTGCTGTTTACTAGAAGAGAACTAATGTCAAACAGAGAATGGATGGACATTAAGTTTAGTAGAAAGTTTCAGAACCTAATCAGTCACGGCAGAGGACAATATCATGTGATCAACAGTAAAAGTGAGATTAATGAAACTCACATCACCAAGCTTCTAGAGAAAATTGATGAAATCATCAAGCAAAATGATGAAAAATATTATAACAATGAGATTCACTTAAAGTCTTTAACAAGAATCAGGATTGAAAAGAAGAACCAAGAAAAAAATACTGGGAAAAAAATAGAGGAATCTCATGTATATAAAGATTCAGTTCCACAAGTAAACAAGATGGCTGAAGAGAAGGAGTTAAAAAAAATGCTGGTAACATCACTGAAAAATGCCTTTGAAAGAATGGGGGAAAACAATGCACCCCAGACTTCAGAAAAAAGCTTGAAGACAAGTGGGAAAGGAAAATGGATGCAGAAGAAACAACAGAATAAAACAGAACAACATTTGACTCAGGCAGGTGAGAACTTAGAAAACTACAAGGATTTTATATTTTGAAATGTATTTAAATGTCATGACACATTACACAAAACTGTAAACACAAAATAAAACTGTAAAAATATTTCCCCCTGAACAAATTAAAACCATGCCACTGTCAATACATAATTAAAATATTATTATTTTTTAAATCAGTACATTTAGAAGATGATGTAACAATGATGTAACAATTAAAATTAAATTTAAAAATGGTGTTTTAAATTTTCTGCCCTAAATCTGGGGAAATGGCAACAGTAAATGTAGCAAATATATTCTAAATTTTAAATTGGACAAATCATAAAAATGGCATCCAACAATCAATAATAATTATAGCCAGTAAATTAAATTGTGAACGGCAGACTAAGAAATTATTATTTTTTAAATCAATACATTTAGAAGATGATGTAACAATGATGTAACAATTAAAATTAAATTTTAAAATGGTGTTTTTAATTTTCTGCCCTAAATCTGGGGAAATGGCAACAGTAAATGTAGCAAATATATTCTAAATTTTAAATTGGACAAATCATAAAAATGGCATCCAACAATCAATAATAATTATAGCCAGTAAATTAAATTGTGAACGGCAGACTAAGAAATGTATATTTATGTTTATAATTCATCATCTAAAGAACCTGCATTGCTGATCTGACTTGCATAAAATTGGTGTCATCTAGAGACATTTCTGACCAAAATTATTTTCTTTTCTTTTTTTTTCTGTTGAACATAGAAGACATTTTGAACAATTCTGAAAATAAGTAATTTTGAAAAATGTGGTAACTAAATGGTTTTGATGAAAAATGACTTCCATTGTATGGGCAACATAGAGTGTATGCTACATTCCACGTGTGTTTTGTGTATGTTCTGGTTTTTTTTTCCTCGCTCTCCTGTCTTTTTGTGTTATTTCTTTCTCCAGTAAAGTCTTCTGAAACGTACTACTTTTCAGTGTCATCTTTTATCTGCTCCACACCCAGTAACAATTGTCTCACTTAAATGTTATGGTATCATCCCTCTTAAACATCAAGTACGTAACATACACAAAACACACGTGGAACATAACCCCCCCCCCCAGAAAAAACTACAT